AGGGGGGGGGGGGGGGGGGCTCGTTTGAGAAAAGTTGAAATCCGGACAGAAAATGATTCCAAAAATGATTCCTATCTCTTCTTTTTATCAATAAAAGTCGTAGTCTTCCTTATCTAGTAAAACTCCAGTGAAAAAATGCCAATGGTGGTTGAAAGCACATTTGAACTTGAATTTACGCGCAAAGCAGCAGTCAAAGTTATTACAATATAATTTTCACTTCAAAAACGAAGACATGGTGCTATTTTGTTGTTGTATTTGTATGTATACAGTAGTAGAATGCAAGGCATTTTTTAACATACAAGCTGGGGGGATGCCCTCCCAGCCCCTGCTTGTCCCCCACCCACGAAAGAACATTTTGCCCCCCCTTCCCGTTTTCCTAAATTTATACAAACAAACCAGTGAAGAACAACAAATAGATAAACGGAACGTAAGTTTTAGGCTTTATCTTTTGTCCTTGTTTAACAAAATCGATTTAAATTGTTGCGTTTTTCTACCACTAAGTAATGAAAATTATGGTCAATATTTTTTCACGTTTTGTGGTTTTTTGCCATCTTTTATTTCAAACACAAGTATAGTTAGCATAAATATTTGAGCAACTCATTTGGATGCTCAGAATGCAGGAGATGGCATTTCCGGGCTTCAAATTCCAATTTTCTGCAGGAGTACGCCCCCAGACCCTCCTATTCATGCGTGGTATGTCGGCCACACGTGGCTTTCAGTCATTACTATCCCTCTCTAATATATCATCTCACAGAAAGGTCCCTTTTCAAAAAATCAACCCCTCCCCCTCACGGAAAAATCCTTAAAAAAGGTCCTGGTACAATGTTATACAAAAATATATTTTTCGATCGAACAAGTGGCCTAACTTAAAAATTGCTTTTTGTGGTAGTAACTTTTCTTCAAACCTCGTCTTAAAATAGGTTAAATAGCCTTCTAATGAATTCATTCATAACACCCGCCATTCGGACCTCGTTAAAACTCTGTTTTTCTCTTCTATTTATAGATGTTACAATTGTTGGGCACTGCGCACATGGGATATAGCATAGGGGGAAGGGCGCATAAGGGGGAAGGGGACCTCCACAATGGGCAAAGGGATTGCCTTTTGAAAAGATGAAATCCTGGCAGAAAATGATCCCATCCAAAAATGATTCCCATCTCTTCTGCTTATCAATAAAAGTCGTAGTCTTCCCTATCTAGTAAAACTCCAGTGAAAAAAAAATGCCAATGGTGGTTGAAAGCACATTTGAACTTGAATTTACGCGCAAAGCAGCAGTCGAAGTTATTACAATATAATTTTCACTTCAAAAAACGAAGAAATGGTGCTATTTTGTTGTTGTATTTGTGTGCTGAGTACAGTAGAACAATGCAGGGCCTTTTTTAACATACAAGCTGGGGTGGGGGAGGGGGGGGGCTCAAATGCCCTCCAAGTCTCCCCCACCCAGGAAAAGTCCCGTTTTTTTAAGTTTAATTAATAAAAAAAAAACAGTGAAGAACAACAAGTAGATAAACGGAAAGCAAGTTTTAGGCTTCATCCTTTGTCCTTGTTTAACAAAATCGATTTAAATTGTTGCGTTTTTCTACCACTAAGTAATGATAAATTATGGTCAATATTTTTTCACGTTTTGTGCGTTTTTTCCTTCTTTTATTTCAAACACAAGTATAGTTAGCATAAATTTTTGAACAACTAATTGCTCAGAATGCAAGAAATGGCATTTCCGGACTTCAACTTTCAAACATTTTCTGGGTGGGTATGTCCCCACACATGTGGCTTTCGGCCATTCCTATCCCCCTATAATAATTAATGATCAATTATGGTTAATATATTTTTTACATTTTGAATGCAGGAAATGGCATTTCCGGGCTTTAAATTTCAAAACTTTTCTGCGGGAGTACGCCCCCAGACCACCTATTCATGCGTGGTATGCCGGCTACACGTGGCTTTCAGCCATTGCTATTTCTCTCTCTTGATAGTCCCTTTTCCAAAAAATGCGCCCCCCGACCATGTTATACAAAAATATTTTTTTCGATCGAACAAGTGGCCTAACTAAAAAAATGCTTTTTGTGGTAGTAACTTTTCTTCAAAATACAAAGTTTTCCAGGGGTAGCATGCCCCGGCCGAATACTCCTAGATTCCTCGCCCGTTGGCGCTGGTATTCCAAATACCATAACAATTTTGTTCAATACCCACGTTCCCGAAGTTTAGACCTCGAATATTTACAGATCGGACAAATTATTTTATAGTTTTTCCTTCCATTCATATCTGCAATTCAAAGTACGCCATCAGGGTTTTGAAAAACGATTCGAACTCAAGGTTTAAGTTTTTACACAATTAAAAAGCCAATTTCAAAAATTGTATATTCGCCGAAAAATAGTATTTGAAATGGCATTTCCGGGCTTTATATTTCAAAACTTTTCACGAGAGTACGCCCCCAGACCCCCTATTCATGCGTGATATGTCGGCCACACGCGGTTTTCAGCCATTCTATCCCTCTCTAATATATTATATCAGAGAAAGATCCCTTTTCAAAAAAATCCCCCCCCCCCCAATGGGAAAATCCTTAAAAAAGGCCCTGGTACAATGTTATACAAAAAAGATTTTTTCGATCGAACAAGTGGCTTAACTTAAGAATTGCTTTTTGTGATAGTAACTTTTATTCAAACCCCATCTTAGAATAGGTTAAATAGCCTTCTAATGAATCTAAAAATACAAAGTTTTCCAGGGCTAGCATGCCCCCGAATACTGCTAGATTCCTCGCGCCTTTGGCGCTCGCATTCCAAATACCACAACAATTTTGCTCTCCACGTTCCCCGAAGTTTAGACCCAGGCCTTAGTTTAGAAACCTAAATTGACGATTCCCCTTATTACGCTTTAAGATAGCTTATTTTTGTCCTGACCCGTGCAAAATATTCCCGAAAACATTCAATAGTTTCATTCGAGGCCGCCATCGTTATCAGTGATGCCACTATAACCACAATGCAAAGCGCTACAAAAACGTAATAAGGGGAATCACCAATTTGGCTTATGCTTGAGTTTAAAGTTTAATTTTATATTCGCTTGCTCAAGTATAAATAAATCGAGATCAAATTCGTCGGCGGAGTTATTAGCTGCCAGCAGAATCTCCATCTATCTCGACATAAAATTGATAACCTTCGACATTTGAATCCGGCCCAAAGTTTAACTGTTCGTCTGTTCTGTTAATACATGTTAACATTGTTGGGCGCATGTGCATGTGGGATACGGTTAAGACTTGCCGATGTCCAGTAGACAAAAATCATATCTATGCCAGATAATCATATCAATTGTGGTTTAATTAAGAAATACATACTTTATTGATAATACAATTGACCTCTCTCCAGGAACTTGACTTCGAATTATTTCTGTTGCTTTTTGGCGTACTGATAAATTAACCTTTGTAATTTCGAACATTTACAGATTAATCATATTAATGGACTTTCATTCATGGCTGTAGACTGTAGTTCAATGTGTACTATACTACTTTCAAGCTTTTAACAAACATAATAAACAATTCAACACTCAAATTTCTACTCTACTAAAACACCAATTTCAAAAATATTTTGTGCATTGCAGTGTAAATTTACTTGTAAGAGTTGACTAGGCCGGAAAATAGAAGAAATAGTCGAGGTCAGTGGTCGGCGAGAGGTATTACATGTTTGTCGAAATTCTGTATCCATTTCAACAATTAATTGGTGACCCTTGCCATTCGGACCTCGTTTTAAGTGTGTGTTTTTTTTCTTCTATTTATAAATGTGGAATTGTTAGTTGGATACGACGCACGCATGACGCGGTTGAGACAAAGACTTTCCGTTATTGAGTTTAATATATTATAACCTCATCCCACAAGCGAAGTGTACATCAATTTCAATAGGTATTAAAGCGGCAGAAAAGCAATGCTGAAACGAGGTCCGATTGGCGAGGGTCATCAATTGAAAATTCAGATCTAAATAAGATCAAAATTTAGTTTTTTTCTTTTGCTTTTCGACGTACTGATATGTTTTATACCTTTGTAATTTCGAACATTTACAGATCAAGGCAATTAAATTCATTAATATTTGGACCTTCCGTTCATGACTGTAATTCAAAGTGAATTATCAAGCTTTTCAAAAACGATACGAATGGGCTAGTATTCCGAAGGTCGTAGGTTCGAATCCCACCGTGGCCGGGCATATTTTTCAAGCTCGCCCGGTGTGGATATACACTCAGAGTAACACCACAAATATCATATTCACCTGAGTACACTACACCAACACACAAAAAATTCATATTACTAGAATACATTGGTATCGAAGGAACTAGATTCTGTTCCGAAATATCACTTACTCGAACCGTCCTGACCGCGTAGCTCAGTTGGAAGAGCATTGGGCTAGTATTCCAAAGGTCGTAGGTTCGAATCCCACCGTGGCCGGGCATATTTTTCAAGCTCGCCCGGTGTGGATATATACTCAGAGTAACACCACAAATATCATATTCACCTGAGTACACTACACCAACACAGAAAAAAATTCATATTACTAGAATACATTGGTATCGAAGGAACTAGATTCTGTTCCGAAATATCACCTACTCGAACCGTCCTGACCGCGTAGCTCAGTTGGAAGAGCATTGGGCTAGTATTCCAAAGGTCGTAGGTTCGAACCACATATCCACACGAAGCTCGCCCGGTGTGGATATATACTCAGAGTAACACCAAAAATATCATATTCACCTGAGTACACTACACCAACACAGAAAAAAAATTCAAAGTTGGTTAAGTCTAAGTTTTCTCTTGTATATAGTTACACTACACTAATTAGAGACAGCCCTTGCTTGACCACTAGGAAGAACAGTTAAGAACTGATAGAGAGATAGGAGCTGTTGGATGTTAATTTTAGTCCCTCTTTCTGTTGTTTTAGTCATGATATAACAAGAATGTTACAAGGTTGATCACACAAGGTTGTAACAGTATTGTTATATCATGACTGTGACGGACTTGTTGGAAAAAACTTGCAACAACTTTGATAATATTAACAAAGTTGTCACAAGTTGTTAACAGCTTGTTCCAAACTTGTTGACAACTTGGGACAAGCAGTGCGAACACAATTTGTCGACGGCTTATTGGCAGACTTGCTACAAGATGTGAGATTTTTACGCGTGTCTATTCCTGCATTAAAACAGGCACACATACCGTGATGAATCAGGCATTTACTGATAATTGATCCAGCCATGTTGTTATATTTATATTCTTGGCAATAAAAGCAAACATATTGGCAACATCGTCGATCTGAAAAGAACAACGTAAAACCAAATCAAACTCCCGCGCTTGGTCAACCTTACGAATGTTTTGGATCATCTCATTTCTTACCCTTTTAGAAGTTGGTTTTCCAAACCCATGTCCAGATTTGGTGTCGACTAAGATCAACAGTGGATTCGTCTAAATATATTCATATAACCCAGTAAATATTATGACGTATCCTAATATCTATTATACCAGCTACAATCTTAGACATAACACGTTGAGACTACACACGTAAAAACGCACAAGTTGTTACAAGTCTGCAAACAAGTTGTTACAAATCTGTTCACAAGCTGTCGACAAGTTGTCTTCGCACTGCTTGTTCCCAGTTGTTGTATAACAAGTTTGGAACAAGCTGTTAACAACTTGCAACAAGCTTGATGGCATTATCAGACTGTCACAACGTTGTTATAACAAGTCTGATACAGTCATGATATAATAAGAATGTTACAAGGTTGACGACACAAGGTTGTAACAATATTTTTATATCATGACTGTAACGGACTTGTTGGAACAACCTTGTAACAAGCCTGCTAATATCAACAAGGTTGTTACAAATTGTTAACAGCTTCTTCCAAACTTGTTGACAACTTGTGACAAGCAGTGCGAACACAACTTGTTGACAAACTTGAGACAAGATGTGAAATTTTTTGCGTGAGTATTCCCCCATCCCCCTATACAAAATTTGCATATTTTCATGATAAACTCCATGTTGAATCATGTTACCCAACTCTAGCTACAGGGTGTTTGGTCAAATTCATGTAATGGAAGCAGTCTTCTCAAATACATGTATGACTAACCCAAGATTCTTTAAGGCCTTAAGGTTTACACTTGCAATTTTCGCTGCGATTTCTAGTGCGACTTCCTTCTTCTGATGGATGTGAACGAGGAGATAGGTTATGAATGTTCTGAGTGTATGCACCCTCTCGGAAGAGATTATTTCGCTGGCCTCAGAGTGACAAAACGTAACAAAGCAACGGTTTTACTAACACTAACCCTATTACAAACACCAACTCTAACCCTAATCCTACTCCTTACCCTAACCTAACCATACTCCAAGTTTGTTTCTAAACCAATCTTCAAGAAAAAAATTTTGACGAAATGTCATTCTGAGGTCAGCGAAATAACTTTTTCCTGCACCCTCATCTAAACATTCATTTGTTTACATCCATCAGATGACGAAAATCGCATCTGAAGTCGTAGCAAAAATTGCAAGTGTAAACGGCCGCCCTTCTTACTTGTTTTTCATACTTTCCCATGATATACTGTAGTTCGGCTATATATTTCAACGAATGCAACGGTACAACACGGTCGTCGTGGTCAGCAGTCATCAACAAAACCGAGGGATACTGGACGCCATTATCGTGTATCTTGATGTTATGTAGTGGTGAGTATCTGTCAACGGACAAATAGGAATAACGTCTCAGAGAAGCAGACGTTGCTTTACATGTGGGAAAGTACAGTGTATTTTCAAAATATTGCATGGACTTTAAGGCAGGAAAAATTTAAAGGACTAAAATTTCCAGCTACAAAAGTTGATCATATGTTGGCAACTTATAATTCGCCCATCCCCCAAATATTTAACGTTTCCTCTCCCCCCCCCCCAAACAAGTGTTCGACACTGCTTAACAGTATCAACAAAATGCACGAGTTAGACACAGACTCACTTTATAAGCCATTCGAATTGCTCTTTCTCTGATGAACATCCAAAGTCCGTCACCCTTTAAAGAACAACGTTAAAAACTTTATAGGCAAACAAAATACATCAGATATATGTATATTCAACTTACACACGTAAAAATCTCACAACTTGTCAAGAAGATGTTTTCGTAACAGGCTTGTAGCAAGCTTGTCAACAATTTGTAACAATGCTGTTATTTTATCAAGTTGCTACAAGGTTGTCACTCACAACTTGTTGACAAACTGTTGAATTGCAAGACGATGACAAGTTGTTCCAACAACCTGTAACAGGTCTGTTGAGCTCAACATCCTTGTAGCAAGTTGCCAACAAGCCGTTGACAACTTGTCAACAAGCTGGGAACAAGCAGTGCGAACACATCCTGTTGACAAGTTGTTGGAACAGCATTGCTATAAGTCTGCTGCAATTAAGTTTGTTACAACTTGTGCGTTTTTACGTGTCCAAACGCAACGCAGTGAAACTACATGGTCCGGTTGGTTGACAGCCGATTAGCTTAACCCTTGCATGGTTAACAACGCAAACTTCCCAAAAGCTTGTTCATAAATTTGGAAACATTTCTTCAGAAATCTCGTGTGAAACAGTACGAGTTTTCTTCTCTGGAGTTTTGAAATAAACACAAACTAAGACAGCGGGTTAAATTTTAAACGAATGTTGGCGCTAATCGAGCTTTGAACAACCTATCCCAGGTAACTAGATTAAAATTAATATTTCTGCAAAACCTACCATGCATGTCCAATAGTGAACTTATGAAACTTTAACATATCCATCACACTAAATAAAACAATCATATACACTTTGGTTTGGGTAATGGTGAAAAACTTGTGATGAGGTAACCCATCCATTGTTCTGCAAAAGCAAGCAAGAGCATGGCCGGATTTTGAGGGGAGGTGTGGGGAGGCGCGCACCTCCCATGAGATCGTTTTGCACCTCCCCTGTGAATTTTTCCACCTCCCCAGAGAATTTTTGCACTTCCCCTTGGAAAAGTTTCAATGATAGATCAGAGTGAAAATTTGACATTTTTCACAATTCATTAACACACTGATACATATTTTTATTTTTCATAATTCATTATTGTCGATTTCAGGTAACTTTTCAACACGCTGTTCTCAGGTTCGTTGCGAACTTGCCAATTACGTTGTCAAGTTCGGAAGTTGGGCGTGAACTTCGCAACGAAGTTCGCAAGTTCATTTCAAAGTTCGAACTTTGATTGAAACAAATGTTCCGATAGTTGGAGTTGAAATTACTGTATAAGGCCCTATGCACATATTACTGCAGTAAAATATTGGTCCAGTGGTCTCCCAAGACGAAAAATGCCTTTTTAAATAAATTTATAAATGAAATAAATTCGAACTTTGAAAAGAACTTGCGAACTTCGTTGCGAAGTCCCCGCCCAACTTCCGAATTTGGAAACGTAATTGGCAAGTTGACAACAAACTTGGGAACCGCGCTTTGAAAAGTAATATGAAATCGACAATAACACACTGATATATATTTTCATTTTTAATAACTCATTAACACACTGATACGTTTGTACACTACATGCATACGTAATGTCGTTCATGTTGGCCCGTTCTGTCTTGAGCAAGGGTGAACCTGTTACTTACCCAACCTGGGCAACGGCACATTTAAATAAATCTGGTCGTTGATTCACACATGCTCCAACTAACAAACCGCCATTAGAAGCACCATTTATAGCGAGCCTAGAAAAAGATGAAACGAAATTTATCTTGAATGCATGATCTGTGTCACTGCACACACGTAAAAACGCAGAAGTTGTTACAGGTCTGCAAACAACTTGTTACAAATCTGTTCACAAGCTGTCAACAAGTTGTGTTCGCACTGCTTGTTCCCAGTTGTTGTAACAACTTTGGAACAAGCTGTTAACAACTTCTAACAAGCTTGATGGCATTATCAAACTTACTACAAGGTTGTTCTAACAAGTCTGATACATGTACAGTCATGATATATATAACAAGAACGTTACAAGGTTGACGACACAAGGTTGTAACAATATTGTTATATCATGACTGTATCGGACTTGTTGGAACAATCTTGCAACAAGTCTGATAATATCAACAAGGTCGTTATGAGTTGTTAACAGCTTGTTCCAAACCTGTTGACAACTTGGGACAAGCAGTGCGAACACAACTTGTTGACGGCTTGTTGGGACAAGCAGTGCGAACACAACTTGTTGACAACTTGAGGCAAGCAGTGCGAACACAACTTGTTGACAACTTGAGGCAAGCAGTGCGAACACAACTTGTTGACAACTTGAGGCAAGCAGTGCGAACACAACTTGTTGACAACTTGGGACAAGCAGTACGAACACAACTTGTTGACGGCTTGTTGGCAGACTTGCTACAAGATGCGAGATTTTTAGGTGTGCATGTAATAATGCCAATAATAAGCTTCATATTGATAGGAATACAACCACCGGAAAAATAGTAAAATACAAGAACTTCAAACGTTCTTCAAAAACTTGAAGTTCTCTTTGTATTTTTCAGATAGTTCCCTATCAATCCACAACGAAATTTATTTATTTATTTATTAAACTGACCGTTCTATGGAGGTGTATTTATTAGATATAAGATATTCCGCTGCACATTGAAAGTCATCAAAAACATTCTGTTTGTTGGCAAAAGTTCCACCTTTATGCCAGCTCTCGCCATATTCACTGAAGATTAAAACAAAATAATTGCAATACGTTATGCACTATTTAAAACACGAGGAGTACTTTATCAGATATAAAACACGAGAGCACAGCTCGAGTGTTTTATATCAGATAAAGCATGAACTGCAAGCGTTTTAAATGGCCTAAAAAACATATAAAGGGTTCATTGGCGATGTAATTTTAAAAACAAACGTTGTAGTAACAATGTAGTAACAATGTTGTAGTAACAATGTTGTAGGGTTGTAGTAACAATGTTGTAGTAGTACCCCTAAGTTACTGAATCTCTGGGAACGAGAACTCGACTTACCCTCCACCACGAAGATTTGGTACGGCTAAAATTCCGCCTAAGTGACCGATGAAAATCAGCCTGGAAACACTGAAACTTGGTGTAATAGAAATATTGAAGCCACCATAACCGTACATATAGACGGGATGAGAGCCATCTAAAGTTACACCCTGTGAAGACAAACATTTGAATTATTGCCTATTCTATTTGTCTCACGTGAAACGTCAATGTTTGCACCAGGAGAGTGTTTAACCCATTGAGCGCCAGAACCATAGACGGATTTTTTTTTTATTTTTTTTGGGGGGGGGGG